CAAAGGCTTAGTAACATCCTGGCCTTTGTCATTAGATGTCAGCGTCTTGTTCACAGCTGAAGGGGTGTTTTCACTGGCAGCTGTCTACAGGAGCAAAGTGGAGTCTGGAAAACCCATACAGGCCACCCTCTCTCTGTCCCCTGCATCTTTTTACTAGCCAGGCACTCATGTGTTACTAGGTGACTTGCAGACTCCCTGGCAGATCTCATGGCGCTCGGGGCTAGGGGGTGGGGCTCTGTAAATTCTCCCCAGGCCCCCTGACATAAGACTGTTCCCTTTTCAGTCCAGCTAACAAGCTAGCAAGAGAGTATTTTATAATCCCTGTCGCAGGCAGGAGGTGATGCTTCTTACAGAGACCTGGTCTTGTGCCCAAGGCTGGCTTCATCTGGTCATTTTTTGGAACTACAGAGACCGTTAGGGGAAGAAAACTGCTCAGAAGGTCAAGGTGTGTGCGTGCGTGTGTGCGTGCGTGCGTGCGTGTGTGCGTGTGTGTGTGTGTGTGTGTGTGTGTGTGTGTGTGTGTGTGTGCATCTAGTCCTTTAGACCCCCAGAGAGGTCTCTCTTCCTTCCACCGAGTAGACCTTGGGACCTATTTTAGGGTCACAAGGTTGGGAAGTGCTAGTCTTCATTCTTGAGCTGTCTCACCAACCATGGGACCTTTTTGAAATTAATTTCTTAGGTTGTACAGACAGCTCTCACAAGTGGCATCCTCATATGTGTGTGACGTTATACTTGTCTTCATTGGCCCCCTCTCTGACTGCCCTTTCTTGCCCCTCCCATCCAGCTGGCTCCTCCTCCTTCCTTCCCCAGTTAGTTTCCCCTCTCTGCTGTCTTACTATGTGAATTCCATTACCTTCTATTTCCCTCACCTCTCTTAAGTCCTCTGTCTCTGCCTGTTCCTGGACCTTATACCATAAAATACATTCACAACACTTTCATAACATACAAATACACCACACATGTCTATTGTCCACCACATATATAACCACACATGTTGAACCCACCTATGTATACACTACACATACACACACACACACACAACACACACACACACATACACACACATGTACACATACACACGCATATACACACCACACATATACACACACATACACACGTACACATACACACACACATACACATAACTGTGAAGCTAGTTCTTCATATGAGACAAACCATGAGTGTCTTCCTGAGCCTGATGCATTCACCCATTTTCTTCTGCAATGTTATGATTTTATTTTAGTTCCATTGTGTACATGTGCCACATTTTTATATGTGGACATCTAGGCTGGTTCCATTCCCCAGCTACTGGGCAGACTGTCTCCTTTTGATGTCATCCTTTCTTCTACACATTGTCCCCGATGTTCTATGAACCTGCCTCCTCTGTTTACTCTGATGGCTGCTAACCTAGCATGTTTTCCCCATGGGTCATAAGAGCATGGAACACCTCAGATCTTTCTGAAGGTTTGCAGCCTGGCATCTCATGTGGGTCTGGGTAGCAGACCTGCAAACTGACCTGAGGCCCTTGATTCAGAGAGACTTGCCTGTGGTCTGCCCTCTAAGAAACTGTGAGTGCTGAGTAGGGGCCACATTTACTCCTGGACTCAGCAGGACTCGGGAACTGTGTCCCCTACTGAGTGATTCTTCTCAGGCCCCTTTGCAGGCCTGGTGGGTAGGAGAAACCTTCTCGGCAGACATTTGGAGAGTGTGCCCAAACAGCACCAACTGCACAGAACACAACGACCTGAGCAGTAGTGACATGTTTACAGGTGAGTGTGTGTGAGCTGAGCTTGAAAAGCCCCCATCTCCCTGAGAACAGGCTCTGCCAGGGCCACCCCAGCATGCCCAGGTCACTCCACTTGCCCTTGTCCCTTGCATGTCAGGGCATGAGCCCTGGAACAGTCAGCTGTGCTGGGAGCAGGGTCAACCAGGACAGCTCATTGTGCCCAGAGGCGGTGGTTTGGGGCCTCTGCTGTTTGTGTTCCGTGTTCTCTGTGTGGGATTATTTCCATGTTATTGCTCTAAAATCAGGGATCTATTTCTACCAGCTAAACTCAGCCTGTTTGGTATGAACCATGAGCTAAGAATGGTTTTGACATTTTAAAAGTTGTAAAACAAACAAAATCCCCAAAAACAAAGAAAAAAAAAAGCCTTGAGAATTGAACATACTCCTAGCAAACCACATTGAAAACAAAGCAGAGCACATTCTTAACACCCTACAAGGTCCTTTGGCCCATTCCCCCAATCCCTACCCAGAGAGCCCTGCCTGCCTGTGGATGATTTCTCACTTCTCCCTGGTGGCTTCAGAGAAGTGGGAGTCAGGCAGGTGATTGTGTTGGAGAACATATTTGTTCACCATAAAGAATAAGGAAGCAGGGCCAGGTGTTCTCTATGGGCCACAGCTGTGCAGCTGGGATCCTTGCTGTAAATTTCTCATTGGCCTTAACAAGCTGTGCTCCCTGCAGCCAGTTTCAGGCAAATCTATGACGCTGCAGGTTGAGCTCCAAGTACACTTTTAAGTCCTCACGCCTGAGCCAAACAGATCTGAGCCATGACCCAGAGCAGGAAGAAGTCAGAGTAATGGGTTCTGGCTCCATCTTCTGGCCACAGCGGTGTTTTGGGCAAGTGCCTGGCTGGACACTAGAGGAGGTGGGCTGGAAGATTCCATAGCAGCACTCACTAGTGTTCAGCTGGATGGGTGTATCTAGTCTGTGGCCTGTGGCCCACCACAACTAGTGTTCAGAGGGCCCAACCAAGGCTGCAAATCTGCTTCAGACAAGAGCTTTCCCCTTGACTGTACAGGTCTCAGCGTGACGTCTGTACATGACAATGTTATGTTTCCATGTCCAAAGGTTAGACCGACATGCTTGACTGTAGGCAGTATCATGACCCATCTGTAATGCCTCGGTCCTCAGACATGACTTCGCCTTCTACCCACAGATTACTCCATCATGCAGGCCGTGCAGGCCACCATGATCCTCTCTACCATCCTCTGCTGCCTCTCCTTCCTCGTCTTTCTGCTTCAGCTCTTCCGCCTCAAGCAGGGAGAGAGGTTCACCCTGACCGCCATCATCCAGCTCATGTCATGAAGTGAGACTGAAGCAGCCCCTACTGCCTGCCACGGAAACAAGAACGTCAAGAACTGAATCTTTAAATTGTGCGTTGTTCAGAAAGCTGGCAGTCTCAGGGGCCAGAGCAAAGCCTGCCTTCCGATCCTTTTCCTGGGCTCCTCCTTATGCAGAGCCAGAGCAAATGAAAATCGATTCCAGGTTCAGGGTCGCTGGTTTCTGAGATTCCCCTTTCCCTCATCCTCATCTCTCTTGCAGACACCAAGGCCACAAAGTCTTGCATTCCTTCTCAGTCACCAATTTGGATGACATCTAGATTTAAGGTTAACTTGGAACAAACAGACCATTAGCAGCATGTACACACAGATTCCTTCATACAGAAAGGTGCTCAATCACGCTTCTTCTTATGGAGGCGGGAAGTCGGGAGCACCCAGAAAGTTTTAGTTGTGGGAGAAGGGAAGGTGTTCCCCAAAGCATGAAGCCCAAGCTTGGGTTTTATGAGAATAACAGTTGCAGTCCACAGTGGATTGGCTGGGTACACAGTGGACAGAACAGTGTGCCAGGATGAAGAGCCCAGAGCTGTGATAGCTGGAATGTGGAGGGGCCAGAACAAATGGGCTCTCATAAGCTGTGGGAGGGACTGGAGGTCCGTGTCCTAAGCTGGTAGGACTCTATTAGCAAATGTTAGGGCTAGTACCAGGTTACACCATGGTCTGCAATATATCTGACCCCTGGCTTGATTCCTGACAGGTCTGTGTGTCATGATCGGGGCTTCCATTTATACGGACCGGCGCCAAGACCTTCACCAGCAGAACTACAAAATCTATTACCTGATGCAGAAGGCAGCTATGGCCACTCTTTCATCCTAGCCTGGGTGTCCTTCTCCTTCACATTCATCAGTGGCCTCATGTACATGATCCTGAGGAAGCGCAAATAGGTTTCAGGAGCCCAGCCACTCCCCCACAGTATGGCATCCACATTCACGTAACCATTTGTATATAATCAGTTTTTGTGGTTTTTTTCTAGCAAACCTATTGTTTCCTTTAAAAAAGCTTTTATAAAAAAAAAAAAAAAGAAGAAGAAGAAGAAGAAAAGAGAGAGAAGAGTGCATTCTTGGGATCACAGCCCAGACCACAAAGGCTGGCATTCAGAATGCAAGCCCACCAAAAGTCTCCAAGAGGCCCAGCAAAATCTAGCAATGTGGACATCTGCAGAATGCCTTTCACCCCAGGAGCTGGGGTGGGTGTGGCCAAAGTGGGAAAAGCCTATCTTCAGGGACAGGCTCCCTGTAGGTTTCTGCCCTGCCCTTCTCCCCCTGCCTGCTCTACTCTGACAGCCACACTGACCCTGGTTTCGGTCTGTAGGGGACCCAGAGCCCCAGTCCCCCCTCAGTAAGTTAGGCCATCATGCAAACTCTCTGACAGGCTCCTGTTTGCCGTAAGCTTAGTGTCCCTTAACTGAGCTGAGTCTCTATAGGTAATTCCTTAGGTCATCTGTTACACTTCAAAGACCCTCATGATCCTTCATCAAAGGGGTGGGCCTGCAGTATGCTTAGTTGCACAACAATTGGGGGTCAGAGTGCTAGAGCCAGGGAGCAGAGGCACCTGTGAATGTCAGCAGTCTCACCACACTGAAATGGCCCCACTCCCACTCCCAGCACATCTTCGCCTGCACCAGTGCTTGCTGCTTCTCCCACAGCTGCTTCTATCTGGGCCACTCGTGCCTCCACCTGGCAGGTGGGATGGGCAGCTTCTTCCCTGCCCTGTCCTAGAAAGGCTCTCTTTTTCTCCCTTGCCCCTCCATCTAAGGTGGGTGCTTCCTCTAGACCCCTATTTCTGGAGCCTCAGAAGAGCCAGCTTCCATTCATTCATCTACCCATCATTCAACATGAATGCACTTTGCCACGTGTCAGGTCAAGGGATACCTTTCAAAACAATTCCTCATGAGACTCAGTCTGGTGAAGATCACACACCAGAAACCAATTAGAAAAACTAGCAACTGTGATGGAGCAGCAGGGACCCCACCAGAGTCAAAACCTCCCAAGATGATAGGAAGCCCACTTTCTGCATACTTGACTCTAAGTGCCTTGGGGTATCTGTACTTCTGTAGAGGATCCCACATTTCCCACAGCAGGAAAGGATTCCCAGAACATGGCTCTCAAGATGAGCATCACATCGAAGGAGAATCCAGCTTCACTCCAGTGAATTCCAAGGATACCCTGATAAATGTGGCCATGGGAAGGTTGTTCATAGCACTGGAAGAGTGATGTGCCATACCCAAGGCCCAAGAACTCCTAGGATGTCCACCTTCTCCCTTTGGTACCCTTTCCCATCCATTGAGCATCAAGTTGGAGAGATGATTCTGGGACAGGGTGTGTAGATTTGTGTTGTTTAAACATCTCCACATGTGAGCTTCTGTGAAGGGTTGTTTACCACTAGCTCAGTCCCAGTGAGGCTGGGGGATTGGGTCTCTGTGGCTTTAGGGCCACCGTGGACACCTCATGCCTTGACGAACTTCCAAGGAGAACTTCCCACCGCTCACTGTTAGCTAGATTGTAGGGTTGGCACAATGTCTTGTGAGACTCAAGGAGGGAGGGGTGTCTAAAGTGTCCTCTACACCTTCCCTGCAGGGACTTTTCTATCATAACATCCTGTAGTCATGATGGAAACAGACAAACGAAAGTTTAGCCTGAGCCAGCATCAGTTTCCACCTCAGATACCCAGAGCTGCAGAAGGAATCATCCAATGTGATGGGGATGGTCCTGTGGGTTGTCTTGGCTGATTGCCACTGTGGCCAACATCCAGTGCCCACATTTAGCTGTGACATGAGAGGTGCCTCTCCTCTGCTCTGTGCCCTGTATTTGGGATGCTAGAAAGAGATGAGGGTGTGGAGGGAGAACAGATCCACCCTTCCATGTAGGATCAGCTCTCAGTTGGTGCTTATCACTAGTTAACCAAAGATCAATGACAGTCAGCTGGGATATCCAAGAAGCATGTATTAGGACCAAACCCATCACTGTACTTAAAGGAACTTAGTTTGCGCATCTTACAACATTTTTATAAAGTACTGTAATTCATGGGGTGGGGCATGTGACAGAGACAGACTAACCCATGTTTGTCATTTGCATTAAAATTATTTTGGGTCTGTTTAAAGAATTCAGATAATGTTTGTGTGCTGTGTGTTCATGGCCCTGGATGCAGAAGAAACAGGATGCCTGCCACTCCCTTCTGCCGTCTGCCAAGGGCTGTGGGCCCATGTATACCCAAGCAAACAGGCTGATATTCTAGAGTGTTCCCTGTGAACCGAAGCTAGATGTAGACTGCCTGAGTGTACCCACTATGCCCAAATGTAGGCCCACTACATACAGCAACCCTCACTCCCCCAGGATCTCTATCAGATAAACCACCCAAGTGGGGGTTGTCACCACAGAGCAAAGCAGAGGTGACAGGGAAGTTCTGTGGAAGCTGAGGGCTTAGTGTTGACTCTTGTTTGGGGACAGGTATGATTTCAGGCAGTAAGATGCTATCTAATATTCCTTCAGGACACTCTCGCTTCTGTTCTCTATAACCCAGAACTGTACAACCAAATTCCCCAAAGCCACCTTCACCATGAAGGCAGCACCTCGAGTCAGATTCTGGAGTGGGGGAGAGCCATGGGAGATCCCATCAACAAGGTGACATGAGCACTACCTAGCTGTACAGGCCTACTATCCCAGATATGTCAAGTTCAAGGTCCCCCCTGGTAAAGATAAAAAGTCAGAAGAGGGCTGGAGATGTAGCTCAGAAACAAGGACTCACCTAGCATACAGGGTGCTGGTTCAGGCCTCAGTACTGGGAGTCTGTGTGTAGATTTTATGGCAAGCAACCGTGGCTGGCTGACAGTTCATTGCCCCGCCTGCACAGCCTGGAACTGAGAATCTTTGGAGGGTGTCGGGATTAACAACACAGGACTCTTGCTTGACGAGGGCTGGCTTTTATACCCTGGCACCAGATGGAAGAGGAGGAAACGGAGGAGGGCAGTTAGTCATCTCAGGTTTTAAGGAACGGTTTGGGTATTCTCAGGGGCCCATCCCAGGGTTCTGGAAACCAAAGGAACATTTTGCCTTAGTAAATATGTTTTTCTCGCGGTTACAGCTGCCTGCCCTGGGGGCAGCAGGGGGAAGTGAATTCTCAGCCAAGGTCTTAATTCCCACAATTCCCCCTTTTTTTATTTTCCATGAGGGACCCTTGTCTTAGGTTGTGTAGAGTGTGCCATCCCTTACCCGTCCTCAGGGGACCTGGCAACCCCTATCTTAGGCAGGAGGTTTCCCCACAAGTTGCCCATCATAGGTTATCCTCATTTCTGCAGCAACTGTAACCAGACCTCATGACTGCTGGGAGGGAGCGCCATGGGCCAGGCTGAGCAACACTTGTCTATGTAACTGTTCCTTTTGTGAAAAGGTCTGTCAGATCTTGCATAGCACAAGAATCCCTGCCCCAGCCGTTACCAGACTCAAGACCCTTAGAGACAATGCACCACCCCAGCACTGTATCGAACCTCCAATCTGGGCCATGGCATTCCACCCGCCCTCCGCTGAAATAGGAGCAACTGGAGTCTTATTGACCTCTACTATCTGGTGAGCCAAAAACATTGGTAAAGTTTACAAAAGAATTCCAATGCCCCGCCAAGTATGCATTGAGGCGGTTGACCTCTACAGAGACATTAGCATTTCAAACAAGGAGACACAAGAGGAATGACAAAGTGTGAGCAGGAGGCCTGCTGCACCAACCACAATACACCAACTTGTTCCTGAAGTAAGGCAGTTTGCTGATTTAGATTAAGGAGTCCGAACTGAATATGAGCATTCAGGGCAGTCGGCATAGCCAGAGCTTCGCTGACTCTGCCTGCCAGCTGATTAACAGTCTCTGCATTGACGGCAGACTAAGCGATAGCAATCCCTGCAATGGCAACAGCAGTCGCCGACATGGCAATAGCAGTATGATGGCAGCAGTAATACCAAAGTCCCTTCTTGGGTGGTAGAG